ATCTGAGGTCAGGAGTTTGAGACCAGCCTGGCCAACATGGCGAAACCCCATCTCTACTAAAAATACAAAAATTAGCCGGGCATGATGGTGTGCACCTGTAATCCCAGATACTAGGGATGCTGAGGCAGGAGAATCACTTGAACCTGGGAAGGGGAGGTTGTAGTGAGCCTAGATTGTGCCATTGCACTCCAGCCTGGGCGACAGAGCAAGACTCTGTCTCAAAAACAAACAGAAAATTCAGGCGGGCACAGTGGCTCAGGCCTGTAATCCCAGCACTTTGGGAGGCTGAAGTGGGCGGATCACCTGAGGTCAGCAGTTCAAAACCAGCGTGGCCAACATAGTGGAACGCCATCTCTACTAAAAAATAAAAAATAAAAAAATCCAAAAACAGGTACTAAGATGACAGACCTTGCAACATATGGTGCTAGAAAAACTGGACATCCACAAGCAAAACCATACATCATATATTTTGTATACAGTGTATATACAAAAAATTACACCATATACAAAAATTAACCCAAAATGTTCTTGCCACAAAAACAAAAAATTGGGTTACTACGTGAAATGATGGATGTGTTAATTTGCTTCACTATAGTAATCTTTTTACTACCTGTATGTAGCCTCATAATATCATGTTGTATACCTTATGCCAAATTAAATCGATTTAAAAAGAAATGTAACCCAAAATGGATCAAAGACTTTACCTTTAAAAGCTAAAACGGTAACTTTGGGAGGCCAAGGCAGGTGGGTCACCTGAGGTCAGGACTTAAAGACCAGCCTGGCCAGCATGGCGAAACCCCATCTCTACTAAAAATACAAAAATTAGCCAAGCGTGGTGGCGCACGCCTGTAATCCCAGCTACTCGGGAGGCCGAGGCAGGAGAATCGCTTGAATCCCGGAGGCGGAGGTTGTGGTGAGCCGAGATCGCGCCATTGCACTCCAGCCTGGGCAACAAGAGCGACACTCTGTTTCAAAAAACAAAGCAAAAAAACAAAACAAAACAAAACAAAAAAACCAAACCAAAAAACTAAAACGATAAAGCTCCTAGAAGAAAACGGGAAAAACTTCATGGCATTAGATTTGGCAAGAATTTTTTAGCTATGACACTAAAAACACGGGCAACAAAATATATAAAGTGGACTACAACAAAGCCATCTTTTGTAACAAAAAAAATTGTAATCCTACTCCCGCAAAACTAATTAAAAAAAATTAAGTACAAAGTTCTCCAAAATGTACCATACGCTGGGGATTACACTGCACTTTGTTCATTTGTTTTCTTTTAATTCGGCTTTTTTGGTTGCCCTTCACCTACCTTTTCCCAGAGCCCTCCGTTGGGGCCTTCACTTGGGCAAACAACTAACGTAGTGGAACAGCTTTGACCTAACAATTTCTTCGTACCGAAGATGATCGCTTTTCCAGACAACTTAATAAACTTTGCTTTAACGGATGACTGGATGCAGAAAAAAATAAATAAAAATAAACCTCAGCTGCTCAGCAACGACTAAAAAAACCACCAGCGGGCAATCCCTCCCCATGGCCACTGAGCAAAATTCCACCACCTCCCCTATACTCCGCCTACTGCCGAGCTCCCGGGTTCGGACAGCCCCGGGCCACTTCCGGGCCTTCCCGGAAGTCCCTCTCGCTTAGCAACCAAAGTAACCCGCAATGCGGAAGGGCAAGGGGATTGCGAGTCACCAAGTTTCAGGCGCGGCTTGAGGTACTGGGGAACCGCAGTCCCCCACCGGCCCAATGATGTTGCTGCGGGGTCTCTCCCGTGCCCAGCAATGTTGTCAGTAAGCGGGCGGCACTCCCTTCCAATAGGTCTTTTTTTTTTTTTTTGAGATGGAGTCTCGCTCTGTCGCCCAAGCTGGAGTGCAGTGGCACGATCTCGGCTCACTACAACCTCTACCTCCCGGGTTGAAGCGATTCTCCTGCCTCAGCCTCCTGAGTAGCTGGTATTACAGGCGCGAGCCACTGCGCCCGGCTAATTTTTTTTGTATTTTTAGTAGAGATGGGGCCTTGCCATGTTGGCCAGGCTGGTCTTGAACTCCTGACCTCAAGTGATCCATCCGCCTTGGCCTCCCAAAGTGCTGGGATTACAGGCGAAAGACGCCGCGCCCGGCCCCCTTCCAACTTTTTTAGCGGGGAAGGGTGCTACCATTTCTTGAGCACGTATGTATCAGGCTCCATGAGGCACGTCACAGTCTAACCTGATAATTACACAACCCATCTCACTGATAAGGAAGCCAGGTTTGGAGGGGTTGAGGCCCCCAACCTGAGGGAGGTGACTCAGGGACACACAATTAGTCCTGCTTTGCTGGAGGACAGATATGCAGCCTAACAGTCCCCCATTCAGAGGCTGGAGAAGCAGCAGCAGCAGCTTAAACCTTAACCCAGAGTTTTTATTTTCCATAACGTCTTAGGAACTAGTACTTATATAATCTCAAGTCCCTGAGGGGCCAGAGATCCCACCATGCAAAATAGCAAACAGACCCAAGACTTGGGGAGAGGCAGTGAGTGCATCACAAATGGATGGGTACATCTGATTCCCACACGCGGGGCTCAGCTTAGTTAGTAGGAGATCTTCAGATTAAGAAAAAATGCAAGTCTTTTTTTGGCCTGTAGTATCTGGGAAGGATGGAGGGAGTTCGGGAGGCACAGAAAAGATGGTGTATGAATCCTGTCCGGCCTGAATGAGGCTGGAGTTGTGCCTCTGGACAGCTTCAAGCACTGATCAGAGTGTCAGCCCCCGCTCGTTGAACAGATGCTTTAGCGCCTCTTCCAGTTGCCGGTTTGTTCCCTGAAGCCCCTTCACCACTTGCGCTGCCCACTCGAAGTATTCCTGGACTCGATGTTCTGACCATCCTGCGTAAGAGTCGACAGAAACTTGCTAGCGTGATGTCAAGGAAAACACTGCCTTTTCCCCACTTCCTGGCAAGCCTGGTTCAAGGCCATGAGTTCCTGATGGGATGAGCTGTCCTGAAAACTTCCCTTTGGCCCAGTTATTGTATTTTTACCGTATGAAAGAAGAGTAAATAGTGGTCCAGTAGGATTAATTTGGGAATTAAGAATGCCCAGGGTTTTTCAGGGGAACTGATCAACCTGTGTCTTCAGAAGGCGGCACCCCCCTACCCTTTCCCTTAGAGCCCATAGGAAAGCGTACCCTCTGGGGTGCAGCGATTCAGGTCCCTCAGATTGTACAGCTTGTCTGCCAGTTTCACCAGTTTGGCCCCGGGGCTACTGTGGGGCGCTTGCTCCACCTGCAGCCGCTTTCTCTCCAGCTTGGGCAGAGTCTTGTCATCTGTTACCTCCTCCACCAGGCGCCGCACCTGTGTCCCAAAGTGTAGCTCCACCTCATCCAGGGTGGTGTCTGTGTCCTCCACCGTGTCATGGAGCAGGGCCGCCTGGGGACAAGTTCCCACTTAGCCCTGAGATGTCAGCGAAGGGATGCCCATTGCTGAATGGGGCCCCTGATCCCCATCCCAGTCTCCTGGCAGAGAAAGGGGAAAGTTACCTGTAACACCACAATGTCAGTGATTCCCGCCTCGTGGGTCAGGATCCGAGCCACACCTGATGGGGAGGGGCAAAGCAGGAAGTCAGGTCGGAGATAGCTCCAAGGCGGTCTGTTGTGGGTTTTGGAGAGTCAGATGTGGCCCCTCCCGGCCTCTCACTAGCTGGGTGACCTTGGTCAAGTCCCTCACCCTCTGGGTGTCAACCGACAAAGGGAACGATCATGCCTACCGCTCCAGTTGTTACGAGGCTTAAACGGTATATCGCACTAAGCTTGGGACAAAATAGGTGCTCAATGAGGTGCACGCACCCCACGTATCCTTCCCAGTCCCCACCCCCGGTGCCGCAGCCGGTGCTCCGCGGCCGACGAGCCCACCGATGGGGTGGTTGATGTAGGGGGTCCCTTCGGGGTCCTTCCGCCGCTGCTGCCGGTGCTTGCGAGCAGCGAAGTCGGCAGCCTCCAGCAGCTGGGCGGCCTCGGAGCCCATCGCGCGGATGGGGCGGGCGACGGCGGCAGCGGGGGCCAGGACGGAATGTTTACAGCGCCCCCTGGCGCCGGGGAGGGCCGGGGATCGTGGAGGCTAATTCAGCGGGCTGTACTGGGCCTGCCCCAGATGAATTCCTCTAGAGCTGACATGCCCCGGCGCAGAGAGCAAGCGATGTGGAAAGCTGCCTTCAGCATCACAGCCGCCAGCTCAATGTACTCTGTTGGAGGTGCAAAAAGAACATAAGCCTGGCTCTCTGGGAGCCCACCGTCTGTGGAAAAGAGGAAGACAGACAAGAAATAAGGCAGTGGTCTCACAGTGCGCTGAATCCAGGGTGGGAAGGCTCAGGGGACTATGGGAGCGGGAAGAAAGGACAATCCACCTACCCGCAGAGTCAGAGACAGCTTCTCCCAGAAGCTCCCCCCATGAACAATCTTCAACCTGTCAAAGCTCTGAAAACTCTCCAAGTGTTCTAAAAATAGTTCTCCCTGCAGGGATGGGCCAGGTTCTGTGGGCGGGGGAGCCTCACCTTTGGACCCAGGAGACCCTAGGGCCTGACCTGAAAAATCAGAGCCTTCACTGGGAGCCCTGCCTAATTGCTTCAGACTTAGGCTCCCAGGTAGCTGTGACGTTTCTGCAGGAACTGCCTTTGTTCTCAGTGTTGCAGATGAAATTCGCATTGCCTTCTTATGCCATGAGAGCTCCTATTTCAGTCTCTAGGCACCTTCTGTGGGCCCCTGGGGTGATGAGTGTTGTTATTGGTGTTCTGGGAGCATGATGTTGTCAGGCTTGGGTAGGCACTGGAATAACACTTAATTCTGCTGGCTGGTGGCCTTAAGCCTTCCGGAGAAATTCCCTGTCTTAGGGCAGCTGAGGGGTAAGAGAGACCTGATGGTCCCTATGGAACTCCTCTGTGAGAGGGGGTTCCCTATTAGCTAAGTATACTCTAATTAGACAGGTAGCTTTTGTGTTCTGGCTGGTAGCTGGGGCAGATGAGGCCCAGGGGAAAAGCTAATAAAGGACTCACCCTTGGTTTTCAGCTAGTCTTGGTGGTTGCCATGTAGCAGAGGTTAGGGAGGGAAGCCCCACATGCTGGAAGTGAGGTCTTTGGGACCTGAAATAGAAGGGTCGGAATTCCCAGAGCTTCCGTGGCAGCCTGGAAGTTGGAGAATGGGTAAAAACATATTTGGCTCTAAATGCTTGTTTGTTCTTCATACTAATGGCTCAGCTGCTCTGTCATCCCTCATTCTGTCCTCTAGTCCTTTGAGCCTTCTCTCCTTCAGCAGTTTGGCAATGCAGGCCCCACGTTTTCCAACAGGAGATAGAAACCCAGTCCCTGTCATCTCTCTCTAAAAGCCTGTGATAGAGAAGCTTCAGACTTGTATTAATGGTGCCTGAGGGCCTTGGGGCTTTGATTTTTATTTCCTTATTTATACAGTCATGGCCTAGAAAGAGAGATGTTAGAGTTCCCAGGACCAGGACAGAGTTGGTGGTGAAATCTCATGGGCGTCTGGAGAAGAAGGTCAGGCCCCTTGCTGACAGGCCTATCCGTGGGGCTACTGCTGCTCTTCAGCTGGGTGACCCTTGTCCAGTCAACCTCTCTCTCAGGTACAGCACTTACACCTGTGGCCCACCTGCCTATCGTGCTATGGGCTATTCCTGGGAACTGGAACTGATGGGGATGAATGGAAGGGCGCCTGCTCTTCCGGTAGGGGCTGATCTCGTTTACTCTCCAGTAGGGGTGGAGTGGGCTGTGGAAAGATCCCTCCTGCTTATTTCTAGCCCCCCAACCTCTCTCTTCAGCTGTGGTCCACCACCCTCACTTGTGCCAGACCACCCGGGATGTCAATGGCCACCACTACCCTGGTTTCTTTTGCCCTCGTCTCTCTGATTCTCCAGAGGAAGCCTACTGCTGCCACCTGCAGGCTGCAGGGGGCTCCTGCTGCACCCGGGCTGAATTTGAGGCCCTGTACCAAGTCAACCTGTCCGCTCTTCCGCCCCCGCCCATCCTCAGGTGAGATCTCCAACCCCGGAGCCACTGGAACATCGTCAGGGTGTTCCAATATCTGGGGCTCTGTTCCTAAATTATGGGGTGGGAGGCTTGTAACTTACAGACTAGTGAAGGGACAGACCGCAACAGAAAATCATGTAGATCATGATTACAATTACAAGGGAGAAGTTCAGGGGGCTGTGCAAGCGGGTAATGGGGAGCCATCCTGAATCTGCCCATGGGTGGCTCTAGGATGAGCTCCTAAATTCGTATGCAAATGTGTGTATGTAAGACTACACTTATTTGGGGATGGAGTCCCGAGCTTTCTCCGGACTCCCAGGGGTTCTGTACGCCCAAAGAGCGCAGCAGCCAGAGCGCGGCCAGGGCCGGGATCCAGATACTTTTTTCTCTCCCGCAGGGGCCCAGGACAACTCCTAGTGCTGGGCCTCTACAGCCTACTGGTTGTGACCCTGATGACCGCAGACCTTGTGCACTTCTGCTGCGATCGGGGCCGGGGTCGGGGCTGGAGCCACCGCAGGCCTCCCTCTGGGTCCTCCGCCGTGAACTCCCTGCAGGTCTCCGCGGGGACAGCTTAGGCGCGCCCGGAGCTTGCCTGCACCTGCGATCCAGAGTCGAGTGCCCCGCCCCTGCCCCTCTCTGACTCCACCTCCGACGCAAGAGTGGGGCGGGGCAGCTCCCGGCAGCGTCCGGAGCCAGACTCGTCCCTCCCCAGAGACTGCGCCTGCGCGGGCACGGGACACCCTCTCCGCGATGACTGTGAGTGGTCCAGGGACCCCCGAGCCCCGGCCGGCCACCTCCGGGGTGCGTACCCAATCCCCGCGCCATCACCCCTTCGCACCCGCCCTGACCATCCCAGGCCTCCTTCTCCCCATCCATGAGGCTCGTGCCTATCCCTCCTCTTCTCCAAGGCTCTGCCCCGAACCCCCTCCGACGTTTCCGCCCCCTTTCTCTCTACAGGCCAGCTCAGTGGAGCAGCTGCGGAAAGAGGGCAACGAGCTGTTCAAATGTGGAGACTACGAGGGCGCCCTGGGGGCCTACACTCAGGCCCTGGGTCTGGACGCGACGCCCCAGGACCAGGCCATTCTGCACCGGAACCGGGCCGCCTGCCACCTCAAGCTGGTGAGGGAGCCTGGCGCTCTTCCCCTTGCCTGCCGGGCCCCGGTTCGCCCATCTCAGCTGATGCTTGGGCCCCAGCTGGGAATTCAAGCTCCCAGGCCATCCCCGCTTGCCAGATGTCTTTTGCACCTCAGCGTGAAGGGGGATCGGGTGACCTTGGACAGCGAGAGTACCCCTGCTGCCTGGTTAGTGCCCCGAAAGGGAGATGACCATTCTTTCAGGCTCCTGTCTTTCTCTTACAGGAAGATTACGACAAAGCAGAAACAGAGGCATCCAAAGGTAGGGGAATGGTAGACCCTCCTGTGGAGCTGTAGGGCTTCTGTGGTGGGCAAGGACTCTGGGACCGCTGCACCATCACATTCTCCTCCTTTGGCCCCAGAGACACATCTGCCTTCTTTCTTTCCCACTGCCTCGGGCCTTTCCTTTTCTGCAGCTACCCTCACCTTTTCTGAGGCTGAAGCACCGAGCCCCACATTCGTCCCCCTACCTTCTTCTGGCCTTTCCTCGAGATCTTTCCCTACTGCTCTTGCCTGGAGATGGTGGCCTCATGGGTGCTGACAGCGCTCCTGTTTGTGCTCAGCCATTGAAAAGGATGGTGGGGATGTCAAAGCACTCTACCGGCGGAGCCAAGCCCTAGAGAAGCTGGGCCGCCTCGACCAGGCTGTCCTTGACCTGCAGAGATGTGTGAGCTTGGAGCCCAAGAACAAAGTTTTCCAGGAGGCCTTGAGGAACATCGGGGGCCAGATTCAGGAGAAGGTATGTGAGTGACCCAGAGAGGTGGAAGCTTGACCGGTGGTGGTGAAGGGATCTGGGCCAGGGGTGCAGACACAGTTCTCCAGACAAGAGATACTGATGGCAAGTGAACATATAGAATTCTGGTTAACCTTGCCTGTGGCCAGGGAAAAGCAAATTAAGATGACAGCGTGTTACTGTTGATTTGGAGGTCTGTTTGCAGACATTTAAAAGTTTGTATACTTTTCAAGAAGGAGAGAGGCAGACACATCAGTGGTGAGGCTGGTACAGCTCTTTTGGAGAGTACTTTAGCATATCAAATTTGAAATGAGCATATCTTTTGATCCTATATGTTTACTTCTTGCTGTTTCTCTCACAGAAACCTTGCCCACATGCACAAGTAGACATGTGTATGTTTATTTCAGCCTTTTTTGTAGTAAAAGCTTGGAACTTGCCTAAATGCCCAGCCATAGAGGAATGGCTGAATAAATTGGGTAATGTCCTTACTAGAGACTCTTATATAGTTACTGAGAATGGGTAGATACACACATATTGAAATGGAAAGCTCTGGGACACTTGTTGAATAAACAAAGCAAAATAGGCAGGGCATGCTGTCTCATGCCTGTAATCCCAGTGCTTTGGGAGGCCAAGACGGGACGATCACTTGAGGCTAGGAGTTTGACACCAGCCTGGGCAGCATAGTGAGACCCTGTTGCTACCAAAACTTAAAAAGTTAGCTGGGTGTGTTGGCACACCCTTGTAGTCCCAGCTACTTGTGAGGCTGAGGCAGGAGAATCCTTTGAGCCCTGGATTTTGCAGTTACAGTGAGCTATGATCGTGTCACTGCACTCCAGCCTGGATGACAGAGTGAGGCCCTGTCTCTTTTCAAAAAGAAAAGAAGAAAAATATATAATAACACATATAGTATTATATCATTTATGTTAATGATCCCCTGCATAGCAAAATAATGCTATATTTTTTCTATGGGTACACTTGGGTATGTAAATACAAAGGAAAATATTTAATTTAATTTATTTATGTATTTATTTATTTATTTTTTGAAACGGAGTCTTGCTGTGTTGCCCAGGCTGGAGTGCAGTGGCGTGATCTCAGCTCACTGCAACCTCTGCCTCCCAGGTTCAAGCAATTCTCCTGCCTCAGCCCCCCAGGTAGCTGGGACTGGGACTACAGGGGCGTGCCACCACGCCCAGCTAAGTTTTTGTACTTTTAATAGAGACAGGGTTTCACTGTGTTGGCCAGGATGGTCTGGAGCCCCTGACCTCGTGATCTGCCCACCTCGGCCTCCCAAAGTGCTGGGATTACAGGTGTGAGCCACTGCACCCAGCTGAAAATATTTTATTTTTAAAATTTATTTTTATTTTTATTTTTTTGTTTATGTATTTTGAGACAGGGTCTCACTCTGTCACCCATGCTGGAGTACAACCTCTGCCTCCCAGGCTCAAGCAATCCTCCCACCGCAGCCTCCCAAGTAGCTGGGACAATGCGTGTCACCACGCTCGCCTAATTTTTATATTTTTGGTAGAGACAGGGTTTTACTGTGTTGCCCAGGTAGCTGGTCTTGAGCTCCTGGGCTCAAGGGATCTACCCACCTCAGCCTCCCAACTTGCTGGGATTATAGGTGTGAGCCATGGCACTGGGCCAAATATGCATTTTTGTTTCTTTATTTTTTCAGGAAAATATTTTATTTATTTATTTTTTTGAGACTGAATCTCACTCTGTCGCCCAGGTTGGAGTGCAGTGGCGTGGTCTCAGCTCACTGTAAGCTCCACCTCCTGGGTTTACGCCATTCTCCTGCCTCAGCCTCCAGAGTAACTGGGACTACAGATGCCTGCCACCATACCCGGCTAATTCTTTCGTATTTTTAGTAGAGACGAGGTTTCACCATGCCAGCCAGGATGGTCTCGATCTCCTGACCTCATGATCCACCTGCCTTGGCCTCCCAAAGTGCTGGGATTACAGGCATGAGCCACCGTGTCAGGCCTAGGAAAATATTTTAAAAGATATACATCAAAATGATAACATTGCAACCCCTGGGGAAAGGAATGGGATTGAGAGGACTTTCCAAAGGAGACTGCATCACCTGTTCATATTTTTTTAATAAAGAGAAGTTGTATAAAATATATATGTTTTTAAATTAGGAGAAAAGAATCTAAAGACCATTATGAACTATAACCAAGCTCAAATTCACCAGATAATTTGATGTTAAAATGCTGACACAGTGGAAGCAGATAACATGATGGCAGACACCTCACTGAAATGTTGAAACCTGGGAAAGAAAATAGGTTTTCTCTCTCAGTGCCAACTCTGATTGGCAGTGGCTGCCCAGAATCCTATGTTGAGAAGAATTAGGAAGCAGATTGCCTGAACTGAGCCGGGGAACATGCCATGACTGGTTAGTCATGGCTGCCATGGGTGCGAGAGAGAAAGGCAGGTGGCCCACATGCTAGGCTTGTGCCACCATCTATGCCCAGGACTCTGGGGGGTAGGGGTAGGCCTAGAATGATCTTGCCCATTCAGATTATTATTATTATTGAGACAGAGTCTCACCCTGTCACCCAGGCTGGAGAGCAGTGGCAGGATCTCTGCTCTCTGCAACCTCTGCCTCCCAGGTTCAAGCGATTCTCCTGCTTCAGCCTCCTGAGTAGCTGGGATTACAGGCGTCTGCCACCACACCCAGCTAATTTTTGTATTTTTAGTAGAGATGGGGTTTCACCATGTTGGCCAGGCTAGTCTCGAACTCCTGACCTCAGGTGATCCGCCTGCCTCGGCCTCCCAAAGTTTTGGGATTACAGGCGTGAGCCACTGTGCCCAGCTCAGATTATTTTTAAAACAGTCCAAAGAGATTTCTGGAGCTAAAGGAAGTGTTAGAAACTACCTCACAATCTGCCAGCTCCCTGGCAGGAGTTATAAATGCTTAGTTCAGTGCCTTGGGCAGCCCATTCACACTGCTACAACGTAGATGGCACCACTGTGAGTGGGTTGCATTGTAGCTGACAGGATGCCTCCCCTCCCGAAAGGCACTACAGCATGGGCGCTTCCCCTGCTGCCCAAGCAGGAAATCGCTCAGAAAGAAAAAAAACTGCGGGAAATTTCGGAGGCACTGCCAGGCATGTCTCTTCCTGCCCAGGGTAGCTAGGTGCTAGCCCTGAGCCTAGACATCTTCACTGTGCCTCCCAGAGTGAGGAGCCAGAGACAAATGAATAGGGAATATGTCTCTGGCCAAGAGCCATGATTTCTTCCATGCTTTGTTGGTTTGTCTAGGTGCGATACATGTCCTCGACGGATGCCAAAGTGGAACAGATGTTTCAAATATTGTTGGACCCAGAAGAGAAGGGCACTGAGAAAAAGCAAAAGGTATAGGCCCCAGGCTGAGTCAGTAAGTGAGCTCCCACAAGAGCCACCCATCCATAGTACCCTTCACCCATGTAGGCCCCAAAAGCCCCTGCTGCCCTGCTCTGCAGCTCCTCCAATCGTGCAGCTGGGCTCATGGGGCCTGGATGGGAGGTCTGAGGGTCTGGGGCTTTAGCGTGAACCAAGGAGTTCACAGAGTGCCTTGCTGGCCAAGCCCTGTGCCAGGAGCTGGGTGTACGGAGGTAACTGAGGCACTGTCCCAGCCCCTCAGGCTGTGCTGGGGACTCATTTGCTCTAACCATCAATTCTGAGAGAAGGCTCTTCCCTCTACTTACAGAGGATAAACTTCAAAGAGGTTATTTTTTGGCCATGATCATTCAACTGTGAAGTGGAAGCAGTGAGGTCTGGGGCT